ATGACGTGGATTCCTTCTTTTATGCCGTCATTACAGGATTTAATGTATAATTAAACAAATAAACATTTAAATCACAATTAAAAGCAAAAATTCAGGTCGACGGGTCGGGCGTATGTTTAGTGCTCGTAATAAATAAGGATCCAATTTTTTTATTATATAATAATAATAATAATAATAGAATAAATTAATAATTAAAACAGATATAAAATTTTTTAGTATCTGATAGGACCCAAAAAAAAATTATATAAAAGGTCCAAACAAGTATTAATTATATTGAAACAGTAAATGGTCGTTTACCAAACACTTGTTCAGGTAAGCGTTTATCAAGTCATATTATTCAGAGTCGTCCCTGGCATGTTAAATGTGAGATTTTGAATAGGGTCTTTGATATCTTGGGGTCCGAATTTACATATGTTCATGGTCTTTTTATCGACCTGTGTAAAAGTATAGTCGAAATAATTTATGTTCAAACCATTTATCGTTTGGTTTTAGGTTCAAATCATTAATGGTTTTTGTTTAGTTTCATATTGTTAATCATTTTATGTTTAGTACATTTTTGTTCTTAATATATGTTCTCTGTTATTTCATTTATGCAGTTTTGGATGTAACAGGGCCTCCAAAAAAATTTAGAACGTCCCTGATATTACTTTATCGGATGAATAAGGCAAGAACCAAGAACCTTATCTAGTAAGAGCGAAGGCAAGGACAAAGAGTCTTACCCGGTAAGTTAGGACGACGACTCCTAACACGGTTAGTGCTTACCGTGATAGTGTTACCTCATAAGTAAGTGATAGTGTTGAATTTTACCCGATAAACATTTACCCAAATAAACATTAGGTAAACGACCCCTAAATATGTAAAAAAAATTAATTAGCCGTTTATTTTATAGTGTTGTTTTTTGTTTTTCTTATTTTTTTATTTAGTATCAAAGTCTAAAATAATTTTTCTAGATACCTGATATATTCTTCATCATTCTATATTTGATTATTCCATTCACATGGAATCTCTATTTGTATTAGAATATAGTAGATTTTTTGTTATTAATTAAGAAAACTCTTATCTTATGAAAAAAATTACCAACTGTATGATACGGTCCAACTTATATCCATACTATTTTATATAAAAACTCTTAAAAACCATTTTTTATGCATTAAATACTGTTTATTGATGCATATTACTTAAAATTCAAAATTACAAGTAAATTTTGCATAAGTACAACTTATTAAAGTTTTATATTTGAATACGTGTAACTAACTGCAGGTAAACATAATAAAAAATAGAATAAATATCTAATTTTGAATATAAAAAATCTAAAATAGAATTAGGATAATTATTGAGTTCTAACAAACTACTTAATTATTATTTTTATATAAAATTATATTATTAAAACAAAAATAAAAAAAATGAAATAAAAAATACACAAAAAAAGAAGAAATTTTAAATAGTTAGTTTGATACTAATATCAATAACTTTTTTTCAATTTTTAATAGTATCTTCATATTTATATTTTATTCAAAAATCAAAATATTATCGTTTTTTCAAAACCACATAAAACTGTATTATAACATCAACTGAGACAAAAAAAAAACGAAACATTAAAATCGAGATTTATCTCGTTGCATTGTGCGAATATCCTTCTAGTTTATATTTAAGATATCAGAACTATCTTTGTTTTTCCATACGTTATTTATCCCTTGTTGATTAATACTGAGTGCATGAATTTTAATTACTCTTGCATCTTTAAAACAAGAATTGATGATAACCAACATGAATTATGATTCAAAAATCGATGGTTACAAAAAAAAATTGTTTTAACCTAAAAAGTTTAAAACGGTGATGAAAAATACATTATGTGAAATGAAAACCCAACTTATTTATAATTTACACAGTGTTACTCGGAATATATAGTCAACATTGTGAATCCAAAAAAGATCAATCTATATATTAAAGGTATATCATATGATTTTTTTATGGTGTAACAGATTGACGAAGTTAAATAAAAATGATATGGTTGATTTTGCATCTAGGAATACTCGGGAAAACGAATTTATGTGAATTATTAGTATTTCTTATGATAAAAACAATACATCGAAGATTTTTCTTCTACTTACAGAAGACCCATTTTCACATCTTGTTCAGAGTTATAAATATCAGATTCGGGTCTGCTAAAATGTATAATAAAATAAATAAATTTAAAATAAAGTTGTTGTACGTACCTCTATTGTGGATGCTCCAACCGAAATTCAAAATAGTTATTATCTCCTCACTTAGAGGGTGTTTGACATTTGCTGAAAGATTTGGTGCGGAATAATTAAGTGGTTAGAATGATTAAGAGACTCTCATAATATAGTGCAAAATGAAATATAATCTTTTGGTAATTATTTTACAGCGAAATTAGGGCGTTGAATGATTAAGAGATGTCTAGAATACAAAATCATTTAAATGGTTTTTAGAACCATTAAGAAGCATATTTTTTTCTGTCAAACAAGATTCACCTCTTAACGATTCAGAGGTTGTCTCTTAATAGAACTATTAAGATGTAAATAAACAACCCCTTATACATGTATTTAGCATAACCATATATATTTGTTATATTGTTTCTATTCAATTATTATCGAAGTAAATAATACAGAAGTTATATTATTATATCTGAATATCAACCGTCAAATTTAATCAAACCCGTATGAAACCTGTCTCCAAGAATATCAGTATAACATAATACTTTTTCCTCGGTTACTGAAGCTAATAGCTAGGAGGCATAGGGTTGAACTCATAACCAGTATTATATCTGAATAAAAAGTTAAACTCATGATTTGTATTGTATTTGGACAAATGCATCCACTCAATTTGTGGATGAGGTACACACCAAAGCAAGTTATATTAAAACAGAAGGTATAGTTGCAGTTTACAGGTATGAAGGCATGTGTCACATTGATAACCTACTTGCATGTCTTGTACTCTTGCTTTCTTTTACGAAAGATTTCATAATTAAATTATAATTAATATAAAAAATCATTTTTAATATATTAAAAATCAAATTATATTTTGTTTTGGAATATTAAACTATTAATTATATTTGTTTATTTTTACTTATTTTGAAGAACTATATTATGATTCAAACGCTTACCATTACGTCAAAAGCAATTGTTGGTGGAGAATGCACAATTTATTTTCTTATAACGTAGTAGTCACCGTCACGTTTCGATTTAGAAAGATGTTGGTCAATGAACCAACAATCCCCCCCCCTCCAGCATCTACCAGCACTAACAAGATCTTCGCTGGAAGATAATGGCTGCACGGCATGCCTTTGGCATTATTATGCACCTCATGAGATTCGAACTCGTAACTTGCTCTGATACTTCATGTTTGGATACAAACGCTTACCACCATGCCAAAAACAATTGTTGGTGGAGAAGGTGTTGTTTCCTTTTTGGCATAGTAGTCAACGCCATGTTTCGATTTAGGAAGATGTTGGTCAATGACCCAACTAAATACTGTAATTTTATCAGTAAAATATGTATTTTACATTAGGACTTTCTCCTTCAAATCAAACAAACAAAAGAGGGACTACATGAACGAACTCAATCTGAAATATGAACCATAAAAAAACGCTTACTAAACCAATCACAAAAATACCAACTTTGCTACCTATCATCCAAATAGTAATTATTCCAATAGTATTGGCCATCTACTCCACTCCCGTTCAGACTTATGATATAATAGGTCCATTTAAGAGCTGTTTGTTTATCTCTTAATAGTTTCATTAAGATGCATTCTATGAATTGTTAAAATGTGAATCTTGTTTGACAAAAAAAAATATGTCTCTTAATGATCTTAAAACTCTGTGAATGATTTTGTATCATAAGTCTCCTTTAACCATTCAGCACCTTAATTCAATTGTAAACAATTATCAAACAATTATATTTCATCTTTCACTATATCATGAAAGTCTCTTAATCATTTTGTACCAAACCATTTAGCAACTGTCAAACAACTTCTTAATTCTTTTCCATTTTTAACTATATTTTTCTATCAGAAAGTTAAAAATATAATAATATTTAAGGTGAATAAAATAAATAAAAATAAATTTTCACCTATATAAATCATCAAAGTCAATTTGGAATTTTGACTTTTTACAAGTTATAAAGGTCACATGTATACACAACTTCTACCCTTTGAGTTGACTTTGCACATGTTAAATGAGTTGACTCTAAAAAGAAGCCTCATCTTGGGGAGTATCTTAGACAACTAATACACCATAAACATCAAACATGAACATATCTTTTTAGAAAAGAATTGAAATGGTCAAACAAATTTATTAAATTGAAAAGGTTATAATATAAAAGCTGTATAAAATAGCTGATTTATATATAACAGTTGGTTGTATATCATCCTAATTAGGATTATAACTGAGTTTTGAACATAAAACGACTTAAGGGGTACATAAGCAATTGAGAACTGAACAAATAGACAGTCTGATATACATAAAGTAATAGCATGAAAAATGAGAACCCTAATCGTCCTAACGATATCGCCTTTCTTACCACCCTGCCTGATCCACCAAAAAGCACCTCAACAAGTCTCTTGAGGATCAACAGGGATTTTTCTAGATGTTAAATTTAGGGTTTAAGGGATTAGTCAGGGTTTCGCACAAACTGTTTTATTCATCTATGATTAACAAAAATAAGACAACTGTCTAGATTTGTTGCATAGTCATATGGAATGAGTTGAACAAAGGTAGCGTCTAATGATGAAGCTATTGCGGTAAATACACCTTGAAAAACCTGGAAAATCACACAATACTGAAAAAGTCTTGGTGAGTTTTATATTATCATAAGGAAGTCTCAACAACTTGAAAAAGCTAAAATTGGCACGTCCCTCACACTAAATCTATAACCATATCAAGATGACGGTGCATTTGACTTGTAGAGATCTTAAGAGTTACTTTCTCTCTCTCTTACTTTCTCTCTCTCTATCTATATATATGTATGTATATATATATACATGACATTTCACTTCTTCTTTCACCCATAGAGCTTTGACAAGTATTGCTAAAATGACGGTACTTCCATTCTGGCTTCTAATGTAGATATAATAAACTGATCAAATATGTTAAAATGATTGTGTTTGTTGTAACATGTAATGATACAACAGTTGTATTTTGATTTATGGGTACTTTTTGTTAACGGGTTTTAAATGATGTTTGCAGCAACGGATCGTGATAAAGATGCAACCCAAGTGTGGAAGATGTCGAACTAGGGCAATGATGGTAGCTGCCCAAGCATCAGGTACCTCTTCTTGTTACGTTTCACTTCATTTCTATCTGTTTCTTTGTTCTTTTCTAAACAAAGTGTTTTTTCTTCATGTGAATTCAAGAATAAACATGTAGATATAAGCAAATTGTCGAACCATATTCTTATCATACGTTTTGTGCAACTGAAATTGTGTGTATGGGTGTGACATACATGTGTAGGTGTGTATTCGGTGGAACTGCAAGGGGATAACAAGAACCAGATGGTGGTGACGGGAGATGGGATAAATGCAGCTGCATTGACAAGCTCGGTGAGGAAGAAGGTTAAGCATGCGTCACTGGAAACAGTTCAACAGATATAGCTACGATCTTAACTTCGTTATTACATAATTAATTGAAAGGACTAAATATTGTGTTGATCTGAATATAACATTTATTTTAGTATGTCATGTATTTATGTATTAAAAGTAATTTCGTATGGTAAAATATATTATATTTTCATCATATCTTTCAAATTGATGGTATATTAAGAGGAGATGATTAACCATAAGGGTGGTGTCTGATTGGTTTGAGTTAGGCTCCAAAGGTCAAAAGTAGCTGAAGGTCTCATGTTCAAATCCAATGAGAAATAAAAATCCCGGCCACAGAGATTCAAATGTGGTGACTCAAGGCTATCTGCAAAACAGGTGATCGTCTTGAGATTAGTCGGCTCGCATAACGAGTTGAATATCCAGGTTAATAAAAAAAGAGATGATTCAAATTTTGACTTTTTACAACTTAAATGGTACATACATGCACATAATCTTGTACCTTACTTGTACCCCATGTTGACTTCTTGCTTCTCACATGTTAATTACTTCAAACTATTGAAAACTTCGATTCAGATAATTACTGTTTTCGGTACTGACTGTTGCAAAATTTTAATTACTGGTTTGCTTATTAGCACGATGTTTGTATTATTCTTCTGCAATCCCGTTTTCATAGTTTATACTACTCTTGTTTCGCTCGCTGTTACTATAGAAATTGCTTTCACTTTCTTTTCTTTTGGCTATTAAGATTTTCTTTAATCCGACTTGCTCTCTCTTGACCGTCCATGGATTCAGCAGCAATTTAAAAGGTTAAAATTTAGGTTATAAAATTCAAAAAGATTTGCATCACAACCGATACATTTTCTTAAAAAGGATCCAATAAATTAATATAAGAAGTAAAAATTTACTAAAACAGTAATACGTTCATGTCAAAAAGATAAAGTTTGAACTCATGATCTGAACGGCATTATAAAATGATTTTGACTACTCGAATGAGCCCAATTAGACATAATCCAACAGTTATATCAAAACTTCAGTATTTTAATACGTATTATTGATTTAGAGTATTTTCTTCGTTTAAAAGCTTCAAAAACCATGTGAGCAAAGTTGTATTTCTGAACCTATGGTGGACCCCTAGCATATCATAACCACAAGATACAAACTTATGAATATAGTAAACTTTTGATTGGGGTTGAGTTTATATGAGACCAGCATGTTTTCGTGAGACTTATGAGACCATTTTTTTACACTTGAAATTTCACAGCGAAACACTGTGAAGGTAAACCAAATTCGAATCTTCACAAGAAAAATATTGTGAAGGTTGTCTTTACAGTGTTTTGCTCTGAAGTTTCAAGTGTAAAAAAGTTGTCTCACGGGTCTCATGAAAACATGTTAGTCTCACGTGTTCTCAAGTATATATATATATATATATATATATATATATATATATAAATCTTTCAAAATTATCGTATAATAATCCAGAATAGAAATACATGTGTTTGTGATTATTATCGTTGTTTATAATACAGATACAATAAATTAATCAAATTTGTTGAAGTGGTTATAATTTGACGACTGTAATTGTTTGATTGATTAATTTAAATATAATATTTATTCATTGTTAATCAAATAATTTTTTATTTTAAATTTAATACTTATTTTGAGTCTTAAGCGTATAATATATATAGAAACGAAGTTTTAAACGAGAACAGTAACAAAATAAGAGAATACAAAAACAGTCAAAATCACGTATAAAATCACATGTGATTTTACACTTACGATCAACACAAGGGTGTGCGAGCGACATGGTTTGCAAGTTGCAACCTCAGGTCGCTGCTTAATTCGTTCGAATCACATGTGATTTTACACGTGATTTTAGCGTAAAGTCGCATGTGATTCGATAGTTTTCTTATTATCTTATTTTATTATTGTTCTCTGAATCTGACTCTGTATAGAGACAAAATCAAACGAGAAGACAATCACTTTACGAGAAAACAACAAGTTTCAATATCACATTAAGATTATTACAAAGTAAAATCACATGTGATACAACATGTCTAAAAGATCAACACAACATGTTTGTATCACATGTGATTACGTGTTTCGTATCATATGTGATCTTGAAACCACATGTTGTATCACATATTACTCATTAATTAACACATTTGTAATTTTTAATTCAATTTGTTATTTAAATTATATTTTTCATTCAAATATGTTATGTGGATTTCAATTGGGCCGAGTCCAAATACATAAGAAGCAAATTGATCTCAATTGGGCCCATACCAAACGTAAAACGATGAGTGGTCCTCGGTGTTTTCCGGTAATGGACGGCGGAGATTGGCGGTGGTCGACGTGGTCATTTCTTAGCGTCGTTTGATGCTTCAAGTTCAAACGCGGTGGTTCCGATCAGGCTCTACTCTCATACTTCTTCTAACAATCAACTTTCCAGCGGAGAACAGCCATGGACGCCACATTGATATTGCCAAACGTTCCTCCTCCAGGTTCCAAGAGCTTTTCACGAATCAATGAAAGATCTAACAATCTATATCACGGAAGTCGTCACCGATTCAGTAGCAGAAGGAAGCGAATCTCTGCGATCGTTGAAGCCTCCGCCATTACTTCCGATCCAATAACTCCACAGATCACCTGGCAAATCGTAGTCGGCTCCATCGGTCAGTATCTCGTAATTTCTTCATCTAACAACCACCGATTTCTCAGAAAAACCGAATCACTTGTTTGCAAATTACTCGTTTCGATTTTTATCATATTCACTAATAATTTAGCGATATTCGGGATTTTATTTTGAAATTGCAGCTGGAGTTACACCTTTCGTGGTCGCTGGGATCGAATTTAGCAAGCGAATTGTAATACAATCATCCTTCTTCTTCTTCTAAATTGGATTTAGAACTTTGGTTATAACTTTGGCCGCCATGGCAGGTGGCTCAAAAACAATGCGTGCAGTGTGGAGGTTCAGGGCTTGTTTTGATGGAAAAGGAGTACATACGATGCCCCAATTGCGGTAACCAGGAAACAAGATTTGATTACTTTTTTTTGAACAAAATATAGAAATTGACTAGTGAATTTTGAAGTCAAAAACAAGTTTGTTGCATTTGGGTGGTAAAATGACGGGATGATTTTGTTTAAATACATAACAGATTCAAATTCGAATCCCACAGGATACGTGCTTGAATCTCTTGGCTTGATTCAGGTCACGAAATGCCTCCTTATACGTTGTGGATGGGGGCGGTTCTGTATGGGATCGGTTGATAAAGAGGTGGACCTAGAAATTTTTTCAAAGATGATACAATTTGACTATATAATATTAGTATATGTCTGTTGGTTGGTTACTTGTTCTTACATAGAAGAGGCCTATATTTGAGTCATGTCAGGTGTATTTTCAAAAGCATAATAAGTCTATGAAAGGACACCAAAATTTAAGCTGACAAACAACAAATTTGACAATAATGGGATTCAAACCCAAGTATTTTGTACAAATGCAGAGCTTTTCCCATTTCAGCAGTGGCGGATCCAGGATTTTTGTCTAGTGGGTCACCTTTAAGGTAGACTAGAGGCCCTCAAAGTCGTCCGATGTGTTTTTAACCTAACTACAACGTTTCGAGGGATTTTAAAAGTTTTTTGGTTGATTTCGAGGGATTTTTTAGTGTTTTTGTCGATTTCGAATAACTTTTTTGGTTTTTTTTTATTGATTTCAATAGGTTTTTTGGTTAGAGTAACGATTTCGAATGGGGTTGGGGGCTGTGGAAAAATGTATTGGGGTGAAGTGAAAGGTAAATCATGTAAAACCTAAATATTAACCTAGGAATTTTTTTTTTTTACTTTTTGACTGGGTCCCCCCCCCCCCCTTTTGCAATTGTGTCCGCCCCAGCATCTCAGCCAAGTCTTGTGTTAACATGTCAATTTCAAAAACTATATGATGGCACCCTTCAGAGACGTAATTTTTCCCCTTACGACGGAAATGTAATTTTTTCCATGTCACCGTTTCATTCCATGTGGGTCTGCCCTTAAGTTTATGTTACATGTAATCAGTATTTTGTCCAAATAACGAGTTTCTTGTTGACAAATTTGTGATTTTTGTGGGTTTTGTAGGTGGATTTCTGCCATGGCAATCCTGGAAAAGATTCTTTTCTGGTTAAAGAAAATTCGACCATATCTTTGAGTCTAGATTTCAAGTTCAAACACACTATATGGTGTTAATATGATACAATATGCACATCAAAATTACATTGTTGTTATCTGTTGTATCAATAAAAATGTATCTAATTAGATTTTTTTTTGTACATGGTATCAATTATATCTGTCATGATGCCTGAACCTTTCAAGCCTGTTTTCAGTAAAAAAAAAAAAAAGGTTTTCCCCTTAAGGACGGACCTGGGATTGAAAGAGTGTCTGATTGGGTTTTTTGCATGCTTTTACAAACTTAACTGGGTTTTTTGGGTCTTAAAAAGAAATTGGTTTGATTGAGCGTTAAAGTTGGGCCTGTGCCAGGGCCTAGGCTCGGGCTTACCAGGCCATCATGGTTGCCTTAAGATCCTAATGGCAATACTTCTTGTCGTGTTGCATTGCAACAATTAGCCGTCATGATGAACTGTTGCAAATAGGCATGGCAATCGGCCTCGACCCGTCGGGGATCTGGATCCACCCGCCCCGATCAGGGACGGGGATCTCCGCTCCTCTCAAACAGGGGATAGGGACGGGGACGGGTATCGCACTCCCTACCCCGCCCTGTACTCATTGTATATGTTTATTAAAAGATTTAATATATATATATATATATATATATATATATATGTTAGTTATTTCAACTAAATAGGTAATTCTTAATGTTTTATTTTCTAACTAAGTTTAGAATCTAAAATTGTTATTTTTTTTTATGTTACTATATAATATTTTAGATATCAAGTAAAAATACAATTACTCGATATGTTTGAATATTACTCGATATGGTTTTGGATATTACATGATATGTTTTGGTATGTATGACGTTAAGTTTTTTTTATTAAATTGAATTTCTTTTGGTTTGAGGTTATTAATTATTATATGACGTTATAATTTTTTGTGTTAAATTAAATTCCTTTTGATTTTAAGTTTATTGGAAATATGTGGGATTTAAACATGTGTGGTGTCTCAAATATTTGATTTAAAATATCTCACATAAATAGGAAAAAAGATTCCCACCAGCTGGGGATCCCCGTTATCGTTGAGGATGGGGATGTGATCATATTCTTAGGCAGGAATGTGGATGGAAACGGGGACGAAGATGAGGGATCGAGGATGGGGATTGAGGTCTCTTCCCCATCCCCGTCCCATGCACATGCCTAGTTGCAAATGCTTTATGAGACCTTGATACACACGTGTTTTGAACCAACTTTCAGACTTCGCTTCTCGAGTATTGTTGGGCAATAGTCTAATTTTTTCCTAACCGGATAGAACCAGAGATGTACAAAAAAGCCCAAACAGGATTTCAACTTGGCACTGGCCCGATCTTAAAGCTAGATCAAGAAAAACATGGATTTTTTTTTTGCTCACTGAAAATGGGCTTGTGCATCTCTAGATTGAATCAAACCAAACGAGCTCAATATATTCCATCATGAACTGGGATGGAGCGCAAAAGGACGTATGCAACCTTGTCCTTCAACTCAGAGAAGAGAGAGTTCCTTTTTGTGAGAACCTCCGTACCATAGCATGATAATAGGTAATTATCAAGAAGAACGAAAGGAACCCCGTATACAAGGTTGGAGTCTGATTTGTTTGAGCTTCGCTCCAAAGGTCAAAAGTACGAGTAGGTCCCAGGTTCAAATCCAATGAGGAATAAAAATCCCCTTGTGGCCACGGAGATTCAAATGTGGTGACTCCGGGCTATTTGCAAAGCAGGTGGTCGTCCTGGGATTAGTCGGCTCACATAGCGGGTTGGATATCCAGGTTAATAAAAAAAACTGACGTCTAGGAGGTGAGATGTATGCAAACCTAACATCTGTCTTCAAAGATAGAAAGGGCATGTTACTTAGCACCTTAACGAGAGTCACAACTTATTCAGTTGGTTATACATGACTGTTTGGTGAATGGCTTAATGATATAAAAAGTGACTTATTCAGTAAACTTCTAGGCGGAGTTTTATGCAGAAAGTCAAGCTCCCAATCAAAAAACATGTTTTTTCCATCTATGAAAAAACTTTTTCAATCTATAAAGACAGCAATGACACTCTATCGCAAGAGATCATATGGCAGACTGATTCAATAACCTTCGAATCAACTAACCGTGACGGAAATTTATTAACACTCTACAACTTAATCTTTATACAGATATTTCAGTAGCCGGTATCTATCAAGATCGAAAGTTTTCGCTCGGATTATTACCCGAAATACCTGCAATTTAAGACGATCACGAAGCAAGGTAATACCGCACTCGGGTTCTTTACAAACACGCGATCAGGTTTCACTGCGGCGATAGAATCATAATCACCTTCATAGCTCTTATCGAACATATTCACAACTCTTCCAGCAATCGCTCTACAAACCATAATCGCCATCTTCACATTATTCACATGTGAATCCACATTCATGTTGATAATATCTTGACAACTTGTGCTCAACCATATTCCAGTTTTCTTTCTTGCAGTGTAGAAACCTGATTGAATTGCACTGCAGATGCTGCAATTCGAGTTTTTACAGAAACCAGATGGTTCGGATTGCTTGCAACATGTGAGGTTTATGCCGTAGAACAGTAACTGTTCGTTACCATCCACCGTGTTTCTTGGATTCTTGTTACAATGCTTTAAAGCTCGGTTCTTGACGTCTTCTCTGAACTTTTCGAATCTTTCTAGAGTTTCTGATGAATTTTTAAGCTTGAGGACTTGTTTTATAGTTATCGAACCCCTTCTGGTGTCGGTGGTTGTCGCGTTGAAGATCTTTTCGATGATGTTTCTTGACGGGTCGCCGATCTCGAGTACTGTGTTCCCTGAATCATTACCGTTAAAGATGTCGTCGTCGTCGTCATCATCATCATCAAGTACCGTTTACTAATGCAAATATCTTAAATTTTTATAAGTTATTGTCGGGGAAGGTTCGATTTGAGAAACTTATTTAAGGGGTCAGAATAATTAAGAGGCTCTCATTATATATATATATATATATATATATATATATATAGGGATGTTATTCTACACCCTTTGTCATTCCTACACCCTATACAACCCTCATCTCAACCATTCAATTTTTAATCAATTAATTGTTTCCTAATATATATTAGTATTAATCATAATTAATAAACTATATTCATATTCCGTAAATATTCAAATCACAATAAATGAACTCCAATCATTTCTATAAATATCTCAATTAATTGGATTGCAAAGGTTGTACAAATGCACAAGTTTGCAAACAATTCATTTCATACTAACCTTATAAACTAATCACATCCATTCATTTTTTTGTGAAACACCAAGATTGAAACAAACTAATAAGTAGTGTATAAAAAAAATTACAGCTATTATACATATGAACCTGATGCAATCATATATGACCTATGAACGTGTTTCATTACGGTTATTATACATATGAACCTGATGCAATCATAAATGACATATGAACCTGTTTCATTACAAACTGCTATACATATCTATGAATATAAATTTGTTTCGTTACAACTCTTATACATATGAATCTGATACAATCATATATGACCATGTTTCATTGAACATTTTGAGCATATTTCATTAAAAATTACTCTGTTTTATTGAATAATTTGAGTCTGTTTCATTGGAAATTAGTAGCGATTTTTTTAAACAGAATTATTTAACATTTTTTAAAATGTGGGGATTTTTTTCAAAAAATTCAATGGATACCTCAATTAAATCTTTGTTAATATTGTACTAATCAATATATCATCTATATTTATATAAGTATTATGTTGTTACCAAACTTATCTATTAATATTAAATAATTATCACACATAAGTATTGTAAATTCAAATGACCATAATACCCGTATAAATTTAAAAAAAAACAAATAGATTTACGTGATTGGTTGTAATTAGTTTATAAGGTTTATTGGGCGTTTGTATTTGATGATTCATCTCTCTCTCTCTTCAAAAGTTTTAGGTGTAACAGAGCCTCCAAAAAGATTGAAACGTCTACAATAATCAGTATACAACAAAACTACAAGTAAGAATGCTAGAAACATATCCCGCTTACCGTAAAACCAGTTCCTCGGGTTTTGGTTGAGTTCTTCCGAGTGTTTTCGATGAATGCAGGTTCTAGCCAAGACGGGTCTTTCCGTGCCCAGAATCACATCCGTTCGCTTGCCTCTGCAGTACACTTTCCCTCTCAACGAAGCCCACAAGGTGTGCATGGCTCTTGCGGCCCGTAATCCGGCTGCGGTGTCCGAGCCGGTGCACCGGAGTTGTGGAATGGAGTGGTGTGTTAGCATGGGGGGCTAAAGGTGGCTAGAAAAAGTGGATGAGGGTTCGATGGGTGGAGGTCCGTGGGTTTACGTGGTTGGTTGCATTAGGAAGAGAACAAAAGGAAGAATTATGGCAATGATTTGGTATGTAGTGAAAGCATTAAATGATGGTGATGGAAAGGGGGTAGTTGTGTGTGTTTCGTATAGCTAAATTGTATGAAAAAATAATGTATTTTAATTTAATTTCTGTTTTTGATAATATATTTTTAGAACTTTAATTTTGGTATTGAAAATGTAATGTTTTAAATAATTAAGTATCCGGGTAACCGGTTGAAGCATTAACAGGTTACCATGCTGATGTGGCGAGTGATGTGGTTGCCAACTCAGAATTATTTGTTGAAGCATTAACCAGATACCACATCATTCGCCACATCAGCATGGTAACCGATTAATATTTCAACCGGTTACCCGGGTATTTAAATATTTAAAATTTTACATATTATGTATCAAAATAGAAGGTCTGAAAATATGTTGACTCAAATAGGAATCAAGTTAAGGTACGCTATTTTTTCCTTACCCGGGTATTTAAATGTTTAAAATTTTACATATTACATAGGGAAATACTTACTCTCATTTTTCCTTTACAAAAAGTCAAACCTGAATTCTTTGAAAAGTAGAGAGTAGAAATTTAAGAGATGTAATCCCGATTTTACATTATTGATATCATTTTTAATAAGCTCTATATTTGATTACAATGAATCTTCTTTCTTTTTTAGCTTCGTACATTAACACACACAAGGATATGTGTGTGTGTGTGTGTGTGTGTGTGTGTGTTTTGTCTGTATATATAGGGTTAGGTTCCGGTGAGAAGGGAAGTTACTATGAGAAGCGTAAGAAGAGATTCTCCACCCTTGGATCAATCCTAATTGAATGTCTACACTACTGAGGTGCACCAAAATGCACCAGATCAATTCTCTTCTAAAGCGTAATCTATGGTTACACATAGGTTTAAAAGTGATTAATAGTTCAGATCTTTTCTTACGAGATAAATGCATGATAACGAGAAGATAAGAACGTTGAAAACCGTTGGACAAGGTACATTCATACAAAACATCCTTTTTGTATACAGTATGGACCCACAAATTTGAAATTTATGACTTGTCATTGGACTGAATTGTGGATTTGATCCCTCTGGTTTGATGTTTTCTTTTACTAGGATTTTTACAGCATGTTTATTGTGGATTTAGTCTTTGTGATATTTAATTTGTGCTGATCGTAGTCTCTCTGACTAACGAATCTGTTAACTCCAGTAAGATGGACCTTATTTACCTCTCATATGATAACCATGGAACTAGTAAGATAGATCTTATTTACCTTTCACATGATGATTGTGGGACCGGTATGATGATTTGATTTACCTCTCACACGATGATCGTGGGACCATTATGATACACTTGATTTCCCTCTCACATCCAGTACAATAGACCTAATTTACCTCTCGCATGATGGTCATGGGACCAGTATGATAAACTCGATTTACCTTTCACATGATGACCGTATAATCAATACAATAAATTTTATTTACCTCTCACATGATGACCGTGGTACTACCAGGGATGGACCTACTTTGGTGGTTAAAGTGGCACGTGCCACCATATTATTCCTCTGTCGAAGGGTAAAAAAATTTAGGTTCGTGAAAGGTGCAACCATATTAATCTGTTGTGTGACACTGTATATATTTTGAAACTACAATGAGAACATGTTTTATATGGTAAAGTTGGCTTGCAAGACTTTTATTCTACCCCAGACCTAAGTTCGAATAGTGTTAGTGTCATTTGTTAGTCAAATGGTGCCACTGATTGGAAAAAAATTGTATATTTGTTTCTTATAGTCAAACAGTGTCACCATTTGAAATTTTTTCCCTATAGTTTTTTCTTATAGTCAAATGGTACAACCGTTTGAAAAAAATTCTGGATTCGTCCCTAGGTACTAGTACAATAGACTTTATTTACCTCTCACATGATTATCATAAGACTAGTACAATAAATTTTATTTACCTCTTACATAATGACTGTGAGACCAGAACAATACAATTTATTTAGTTCTCACATGATACCGGTGGGACCAGTACAACAAAATTTATTTACCTCTCACGTGATGGACTATAGAACGGTACGGTAGACCTGATTTACGTCTCAAATGACGACCATGGGACCAACATAATAGAATTGATTTGTCTCTCACATGATGACTATGAGACGAGTACGATACACCAGATTTACGTCTCCCATAATGGCTCCATTTAACACTTAAAAGTTGATGACATTCAAAAATGAGACATCGTGAACCAATTTCCATGGGTTAATCATAGGTTTAATGTTGTCACAGTTGCAAAACAAGCATACATACATACATACATTCCTTATTCCAATATCTAACATGTCTTCCCTTCCCATTCATTTTGCATAATACACAGAGAGACTCTCTAACAAAACCTTTAAAAAAACACCCATTCAAACAACTATACCCTCATTACAACATCTCACTTCTTTTCATCACAAATTCTACATTCGATATGCCTAATCTGCGGCTAATATCAACACAACGATACCTTTTATCCATTTCCGATCAGCTTGAGGGGTAAATTCGTAATTCTTACACCCTTTCGACCACGTTGCAGGCCTTGTTTTATTCTGTTTCTCAGAGAGTCGTTCTATGGCCCCAAAAGTATTCTTCCAAGGTTTTGTGGGTACGGATTAGAAGAATGGTTTAGGGTCGTGGAGTCAACATTACAGCCTTCGACATCGTTATCTGTAGTAGTCCCGTATACGTCGTTCCAGTGAACGACTTTTCTGAAATTTGAATTTGAAACGTGGACTTGACTGTGGAGAGTGGCGGCATTTTGTGGTTGTGGTTGATCTGGGATCCTATTGCCGACTACGAGATCAAGACAAAGTGCATCGGTTTCCTCTGATCTAGTTCTTGAGATTCCGCATATTGTAGCGTCATGGCTACTGTTCTTCATGATGGGTACATCATGATTGTGTTTTCCTTCGTATGCGGTTATGACTGCTTTAGGATCATGGGATGCCCGCTCTACGTGTTTTCTTACTGTGCATCCGGCACTTGTGCACTTGTAATAACTCCTGCATAATGTGGCGATACGTTAACAAAAGTTCTTAGGTTTAGCGGTAGGTTTTACACATTCAAGTTCATCTAATTCAATGATTGATTGTCATTACCAATTAAGCAGTTAAGATTTTATAGTTCTGTACTTCTTTTCTCTAAACCAACCGAACTCATTATATCCCACACACAGATAAAAGCTATCTCGCGTGCAGGGGAAAGATATATGCAGACCTTGCCATGAAGACACCCGGCTAAGGGTCTCAAGAATGAGTGGGGAAATGAAGTTGCAAACGACTGAGAGCAGCTACGGCTATGGGCTGTTTGGTTGTTCTGCCATTAAGTCCTGTATGGATAAAGTTGTCTATGTGAATTAATCTATCTGTACACATTGGGAAGGTTTTTGTTTGGGAGGGCTTTTTCATAAATGGAAGGTGTGTTTTTTAACTGGGAGGGGCAGGTTTGGAAAACACGTGGCTTTCTGCATAAAGTTTCTCTCTAGAAGCTTACTGAATAGGTCCTTTTGTATATCATTAACCCACTACTAAATAGTCATGTGTAGCTGACCCGAATAAATTGTGTGTCCCATTAAGCTCATCAAGCTGCTAGCAAACTAACCCTATATTTGGCAAACTAGATGATAAGCTAGTTGTTGGCAGATAAATACCCCCGAAACTTATTGAAACGCTACTTGAGCTTATGGCTAAAATGGGGCTTTTCAATAAGCTCAAAAAATAAGCTAGCTTGTGGTTGCCAAATATGGCTTCAATAATAATTGGAACAAAATTCAAATTTTATTTGATCATGAAATGAATACACACCTAGGATTAGGATTTCCTCGCACGACTTTCTGACCATACTTACGCCAACGGTATCCATCATCCAATATATCAACCTCGCTGGTAGTTTGGACGACCACTCGTGGCTCACGGATAGGCTTAACCACCGGAGTTACATCAAGGGCAGAGAAATCTGTTCGCCTGATCACAATTAAAACACTGAATATTAGCATTAAAGTACAACCAATATTAGCAAAATATAAACTTTTGTCCAATTTCCTCACCTCTTTTTCAAATATGGATCATCATCATCGTCAACCTCATCATTGGTGCGGTTCAATTGCCGAACTGACCCATCCGTACTGTCTTGATTTGCTTGTCTAGGAGATTGCACAGGAGTTCCACTGGCCTCGAAGTTAGGATTCTGGCCATTATTTGCAGAGAGGCCTTCAACAACAATAAAGAATGAATGAAATAGAGAAATAGAAGATAATGTTAATAGTGATTAGGGTGCGTTTGGTATCCAGGCAGGACAGGACAAAACAGATGTTAGCAATTTGGTAAGGCAGAACTGGATATGATAGAATTAGATAAAATGACCAACTTACCCCTAATAAGTTGTTTATATATTTTATATATCTCCAGAAGTTGGGCGTTGAAAGTGATGTGCTGTTAGCCACGTTGGGCATGGATATATGTCTAATTAATTTATGTAATTTATTAAATTATAATGAAATAAATATTTTTAAAACAAAAATATATCATTAGAATCAAGACAATTAAATTGACACCAAAATGAAAAGAAAATATTTAGTTTCCAATTTTTATTTATACATTTTCTATATTATTTTTTTATTATTAATATCTAATAAATTACATAAATTAATCAAAATATAGAAACCATATAAAAAGAATATTTTGAGCAGTAAAGTGAAAAAGGTCATAAAATACAATAAATAAAATTTAAAGAATGAATAAAATGTAAAGATGGAGGTGTATCTGATGTTGTAGGAGAGAAATAGCTTTTATTTTGAGATTATATTGGTAAAATATATGTTTGTTCCACCTTGTTCTATGAGGTGGGGGTGGAACAGGCCTATTCCACTTAGTTCCTGTCTGTTCCACATAAAAGTTCTGTCAAACATGGAATAGTGATCCCTCTTCTTCTGTCGTCTCCAGTGTACCAAACGCACCCTTAATGACGAAATAATACAAATCTACAATCATGGGAAAGGAGAGTATGAAAAGTGCTCCACTTACCTGCTTGATAAGTTGGATATTGAACTTTATCAGAATTTTCCTCTTGTATCGACATAAGAGCACCAGCACTAAATCGTCGGCTAGGTTGAGGTTTGGGATGATCATGTGTACCCTTATACACAATCTCTGTTATTTGTCCGGTATAAGAACGTTCAAAAATCTTTTTCACTTCACAATTGGGATGTGTACACTTGTAATAGCTTCTCGGATGTTCACTTCCTTTCACGACTTTCTGCCCATATTTTCGCCAATTATATCCATCATCTGATGACCTGTCAACTTGGATTGCGGGTCCAGAATCTTTAGGCTTCCCCGATCCATTTGTGTCCTCACAAGGCATGTATGCAGGTGCAGTAAGACTTTGTTCCTTTGGTGACGCCATTTCCCACCTGGCTGCAGATGGAGAACCATATGACCGGGGCTCGCTTTGGTTTTGATATTGCCCACTTGGTTCACCTCGTTGAAGGTTGGAACATGCAGAAACCTTTCATGCAACCAGTATTATAAATCTCTTTTGGTAAACTCTAGTTTCTACACATAAAGGGGAAAACAATACATGATACAGGAAAAAGGAATACACAAGAGGTTCGAGTTTCTATCGATGAAGTACTGCTTTTTGTAGTTGGTATGGACAGCCTTCGATATGGTGAGAGGATAAATAAGAGAAATAAATATCAAATTTTCAAAGGGGGGGGGACTTTATAATTGAAGTACACACACTGTGGCATAATGAATAGAAAGTGAGAAGAACTTCAATTCAACCTCCATTCAGAAATTAGCACTTTTATCAGTGGATTGGGTTACTACAGAAGTGGTGAAATATAGTTTTTAAATCTAATAGCTTATACATTCAAGAAAGTCCGTTTGTTGTCGATACTTAGTTTGGTTCTGTTTCTTCCTAGTTCTATGATGGGTCCCTTGTTTTTGATTTATTGTTCCAATAAGTTACAAGGAAGCTCCTCAACACAGAAGAGTACACCCCGTTGTGATCATGACAATAAGTAAATGAGGCAAGTTAAGATAGGTTGGACAAAGATAACCGAGATGTTAGCAAATAAACAGAAGACTGAATGCATTGGTGAAAATCGATAAAACAGCTTCCATAGGACTTATTAAGAAGAATCAAACTATAGAAGTTTTCCTGTGAAGACAAGATCAGTGATCACCATATCAGTACTTCATGACACTGAAGTAGTTCTAAGCATTTCATGATCCCACAAATTGGTTCTTCTATTTTCTCAATATTATTCCTGATAAATCTTACCATTCGTTTCTTCTTTCACATCTCAGGATTGTTGGTTAATATTACAGTTAAATATTTGACAACTCTGATTACCACCCCCTTTAAGGAGATGTCAAAATACTCCTTTAGGTGGCCACAGCTGAATCCTACAGCCACTGGCATGTGATTCTTGTTGGTATTTCCATCAACATAACTAAGCTTTAGCAAACCCAAAGGATATTACAGTGCCACCTATTATGCTATAAATCATACCCAAAGTTCACATGACTTCAGCCATGTAAAACGAAGAAAGAAAGAGAGATTATAAAGGAAAAAACACAAAAAATACATCCTTATAGATTTCTTAGAAACTAATTGATTAGACCAAATAATAAGCTAGGTCCATAAACAAAAAAGAGCAACTTAAAAACAGTAAGAAAAGATGAATCTCAAGTTTTTGTACATGATCACTGCTGATTAGAGCTGTACCTGAAATCCTCCAGAAGAAATCTGTGTAGCGGATGTAGACTGGGAGTGCGGTCTAAACTCAAAAAATCCAGAGTTACTATCATCCAAGGCCTTTCTGGCAGAACAATTTGCCTCTAAAGAGTATGCAGCAGTGCCAATTGACCTTTGCATCAGTGAAGACTTAAAGAAAGAACCTGTAGTTGGAGAAGGCTCGGCCTACAAGATTAAAAAAGGGAATTTTATAGACTCGTCGTCAATAAGCTTCATAATTGTTTATTAAATACTATTATCCCCTTATTCGCTTGCAATTTATTCGCACAAGCTGAAAACATGATTCATATGACTTTTTCAAATTAGAGAGTGCACAACTCACCACAGTCTTGATTCCATGACTCTAGAAATTACCCTAAACAAACACAGCATAATAAGGGAAAGGTGCCAATCGCATCCAAGAAAAAGGAATATTCAGCTTTGCAAAGAAACAACACTGAAAGCGTATTGAGTACGACAAATTGGATCGAAAAAAGTATCTATAAACACAGCTAATCAATATTAAAAACTATTAGGTAAGCACAGTTGCATAAAGAAGAGACCGATGGGAAACAACATCATTGTAAGCATCAGAAAACAACGGTCCCAAACGGACACACACAAGCATAGAAATTGTAATATATTCTCCAAATGAGCACTTCAAAAGGATGGATTCATTTAATTCAATACACAGTTCCATGAAAAACGAACACCGCATCTAAATAAGAATATCAAACAAAACGCACTTCAACAAAATCTCATTTCATCGATCATGAAGCTAATCTCAATAACAACAGATCACATCAATAAAATCACCAAAATTCTCCACTAATCCTACTCTGACGCAACCATTTATCCCGATTGCTGATATATTTTTCATAAAAAAACACCAAACACCTGACCAAATTAAACGAGGTCTTTCCTTTCATAACTAGCAAATAAACTCATCTATTGAGAGCTAAAAGGAAGAAGAAAATTTGAATCCAAAATTCCAAATCGATTGAAGTCAATAGAAACAAACCTATATATACACACGAATTATTAAATCTAGCGAGGCAGAGAAACGAAACAAATCTTACCTTCATGTTAGTCAGGAGGACAGGCGATTCGAGGAAGGAGGTAGGACTGAGACCTGGAGGGATGGTGATGCAGGTGGACCTTGAAATAGGGAGTTTAGCTGGTGACATGAGCTTGTATTTAGCACCACCACCACCACCGGCGGTGGATCCGACTCCGACGGCATCTCCTCCTCCTTGTCGGCCACCGTCGCCATTGGAGGTGGTGGTGGAGGAGTGAGAGTGAGGAGAATGTTGGTCATCCATGGAGGAAAAAAGAAATTGTGATCCAGTTTCAGGTTACGGTGGGGAAGAGAGAAAAAGGGGTAGCAAGTAACAGGGGTGCTTTCGTCATTTCACATGTTAGAGTGTTGACTTACGGGAACTTGCTTGTCTCATTTGTTCAGGCAAATAGAACATGATTATTTACGCATTTTACGCGTTTATTACAAAAATGGTCCTTAGACTATTCAAAATATTCATTTTAGCCCCTATACTTTTTAACATTTGGTCATCCTAATTTCAGTGGTGGAAGATCAACGACAGTATTGCGAATTCCGAAAGTGAGAAATGAAATCATCTGGACGGATCTTTGGCTTCATTTTGGTTGAAATCTATTTGGCAAGCTACACTTTGGTATGCGGTATATATCTGATATGAGAACATCGTAACCGAGTGATTTTTCAGAGTAAGGGGATGTTCGGTACAGTTTAATGGGTGGTATAGCATTTATGGCTTATTCGATAAGCCATACATTGTTGTTTGGAAATGACTTATTGGTTCAGAAATGGGCTTATTCGTTCAGTCCTTTGAGTAGAGTCATATATGCTCATCCCTCCTCTTTCCACTCCTACCCTTGTGATAAATAAGCTCCCATTTTCTCCTTTCAAAATAAAACCAGTCTACCATCGCCGGCAAAGTCCAAATCTCTCTTTCTCACGTTCTCACTCACGGCAAGAAGCTTCATTGGAAAATGCTTTCCAATTCTCCGACGATTTTCAGGTTCTCCATCCTCTCCGACCACCACCATCGCAGCTACAACCACCACTCTCTATCTCATTCTCCGCCATAGACGCAGCTCAACTTGCCAAGTTTTGGAATAAGTATTGGGGATAATAATTGCTTAGTATTGAATTTTCCTTCAATGTAAAACAAAGGGTAAAATAGTGATTTTCACCATTCAGATGTTTATTCAGCAACCAAAGAACAACTTATCAGTTAGCTTTATCACTACATATAATTTTATCCATACAGGACTTGATGGAAAACGAACCGAATGCCGTTAAATCTTTAACTAGCAAACCTTTTATTTACAGGTATATAAACTAGATCTTATAACTAGATTTCAAAGAATTTGAAAATATTGTATGTTGCAGGGCTTTTGGCTCACTGCGTTGTTTTTTACATCCCCTTATGTGTCTCAAGTCTTTTCTTGGTTTTTAGCGATCTTCGTTACTACTGTTGTTTCTGTTCTTTTGTCTAAGGGGCCGTTTACTAAACACTTATTTGGTAAGTGTTTAACATATAAATTTCTTCATCGAATGAATATGAGAAGGGCTAAGAATCTTACCAGGTAAGAGTAATGAGAAAAATTGAGAGTCTTACCCGGTAAGTGAGAATGACGACTCTTACTCATGTAAGCGTTTTGCCAGTAAATTGTTGCATTCGATATGTTTTGATGTACTAAAATCTTACGCATCAAAATAAATTATAGTGTTGACTCCTATTACTAAGCGCTTACCGGATAAACATTTGGGTAAACAGTCCCTAAGTTAGTTCGATTTACCCTTGTTTCGAGTTAGTTTGTTTCAAGTTAGTTGTGTAGCTTGCAGAAGCTTTTTTCGTTTTTTCTGTTTGTTCCTTTGATTTCTTCTTTAAAAGGAAAACTCAGATATGTTTTTGCATGTGGATTTAGCAACTAAGTTGACTTTCAAACTAAAATTCTTCGATTTATAACATATGTCTATTAAAAACTTATGTCTTAATTGTATCCATATTAAATAATGATCTGATTTGACTACACAACTGATTCATATTTCATTATTGACAGGTATCGATCATTGTACATTAATCATATCATTGTCATAAAGTTAGCATCAAAAGTATGTATAGTTGCATGACTCTTACTACGTTAAATAAATCTTGATGTTGAAATAAAAATAGCATCATATGCAACAGGTCGTAAGTTTTTACATCAAAAATATACCAAAATGTCTGGCCCAACAGTATCTGGGTTACTAAAAAGATCAGAGTTTCAAACCTCACCAAAAGTGAGAAAAATGTGTAAGTTCAGTTGTTATATATAAATATTATATAGTTAAAAAAAGTCATTTGCAACAAAACTATGAAACGAACCTACTTTTTAGTAAGATAAAGTCACTTGTAGTCTATATTTTACTTATATTCCAAATCTTATTGTATTTCAGTGGTTTTGTTATGGTGCTCATCAAACCTAAATACATCTCTTGACCTCGAACCCAATCCCCGTTTAATCCCCCTACCCGACTAATCCCGAACCCCTTGGGTTAAAAAACAATAAAAAATGTAATTTAAAATAAAAATTAAAATAAATTGTCACTAAATGAGACGCTGGTGATTATTTTCTCAACGGACTTACCGGTGGATTTTTGGTTTTCTGATAGAAAATAGCCACCGAAAATTAGCCAACTTTTTTTCTTTCAGTTTGTTTAAAAAAGCGTAATTAAATTAAGAAATTATTGATGAAATTTAAAAGAAAAATGAATTAAATTACTGGTTGATTTCCGACGGAAGTCAACGGAAGTTGACTTTTTTGTTGTCCACCGGAGATACCTAGTTTTCTAGTAGTGTCTTCGACCCTGCCCCGACCTACTTCAAGTAAGAAAAAAACCTCCGTTTTTGTCTTGTTACCTGCCAAAGCAAAGAATCTCCGCACTGTTAAAGTCGGATACTCTTCCGCAAAGGTAAAATTTACATCTCGTGTCGGTTTTAGACGCATGGATAGTGTTAAAGTATGTATAATACACTTGAATCTCTCTCTAAAAAACCGTTACAGAAAGACAGAGGTTCTTATACATATACAGTGTGATGGTTCATGTCTAATCGATGTAGAAATAAATATGTGTACAGTATATAGTTGGAGAAATGAAAACATTAAAGTTAGAGATGATGTAGAGAATGGCAGTGAGACAAGAGATCCAAGAATGAAACATCTTTTCAATTTCAAGCACATGAGTGGTCCAATTATCTATCTGTTGGATAATTGTGCACTTCTCAGATTTTTGTCTCTAAATCATCTAACTTTTTGTCTTCCCTACAACAAGTAACATCCTGCCATATATTATATATATATATATATATATATATATATATAGGAAGAGGGGATGAGTTATTATACAATCTTTTATATTTATACAATCAATACAATTCAATCTTAGTCGTCTATTTAATTTGATGAATATGTGATTTCATAGAAGTTTTGATTGTTTCCTAATATAAAGTATTGATCATAATTAATGAACTTTATTCATCTTCCATAAATATTCAAATCATAATAAATCAATTCTCATCATTTTCATAAACATCTCAATTTATTGGATTACATTGGTTGTATAAATGTAATAGGTTGCATTTAGGAGCGTTCAAATAAAAACTTGCCCCATTTGTGTAAACCGTGTAAATCAATCTCATTCATCCATTTTCTTGATCAATGGTTAAGATTATTTTACTTTATTTTAGAAAATTAAAAAATAAAAAATATTAAAAATTTATTTTATTTCAATACTAAGGGCAAAATTGGTAAATAAAAAGTTAACATTTGGTAACTCCTTTGTAAAGTAATATACTATTTTAATGTTAACATTTTTTAAAATAGCATTCATCAATAAGTTATATCAAAATCATACATAAAACACAACATATTCAATAATGTATAATGAATCATTTCAATAAAAAGTAAAAAAAAAAATGAATTACATTATATGAATGAAATGGTTTCAAAATTTGATCGACAATCTAACAAAGTTATTACCGATCATATTTTGTATTTTTTAATTTACTTGTAGACGGATTCGTTACATTTAGATAATGAAAATTTTTCATTGTTTAATGAGCTTATTAAATTTTATGATTACGCAATAATTAGTTTCATTGTCCTCATTTGATAATGAACTTTATTCATTTTTCGTTAATTCATCATGAAATTATTTCATGATGAATCGCTTTTTCTATGCACCAGTTTCATTTAGCATTTCATCTACTGAACCATTCACCTACACCATCATTGTTCATGTCTTAAAGAGGTTCATGACTTACTGTTCAATTACATTATGAACCCGTTTCCTTGTCATTAACACGTTACATCTACTGAATGGACCCCCTACGTAATCCTGCAACGTGGTTGGCCACGAAACAAGTTCAATAGTAATTCAACCAATCGCACGTGAACTCGTTTCATTGTCATGCTACCAACTAAACGGATCAACTTCAATCACAATGCAACATGGATCACCATGAAACTAGTTCATGAATCATGAATCAATTAGAACATGAACATGTTTCGTCATCATGAACCTATTTCATTAACATGTACAATATGCCTAGAAGAAGCAAATAAACCATTTTATAATGAAACATTTTCACATTGAAACATTTTCATGAACATTAATTTCATAAAGAACAAAATATAATATGCATCCGTTTCATCATACATTTATTTCATAAAGAACAAAATACATATGCACCCGTTTCATTTTCATCCTACTAACTAAACGGATCAACTTCAATCACAAAGCAACATAGATCACCATGAAACTAGATCATGAGTCATGAATCAATTAGAGCATCAACATCTTTCACAATCATGAACCTATTTCATTAACATGTACAATATGCCTAGAAGAAGCAAATAAACCATTTTACAATGAAACCTTTTCACATTGAAACAGTTTCATGAGCATGAGAGTTTTTTCCTCCAACCTCAAATCAAGATTTCATTCCATAAAAAGCTAGAATCTTCATACCACGTTTCCAAATTCATTGAATAACAAAAAATTAAAATCAAGTTTTTAATATTATAATATAATAAATTTTTTAAATGTTACCATTTATATAATTTCCATTATTAAATTTCTTTATTTAATATTTATTAATAACTTTCTTATTTATCGTAAAAATATGGAAAATAACCGAAATACCCTTATTAATTAAATTTAATTAAAGAAAGATGGAATTTTTCTATTGGTCGAAATTGGTTTACACGGTTTCTTAGAATTGCATGGTTTTCATTTGAACCTGCCCCTATATATAGAAGCGATCAAATGAAAACCACTCCAATTTGTAAAATCGTAAAAACTACCCCTATATATATATATATATATATATATATATAGAGAGAGAGAGAGAGAGAGAGAGAGAGAGAGGAGCGATCAAATGAAAATCATCCCCATTTGTACAAACCGTACAAACCACCTTCATATATCGATTTCATTGTTTAATCTTATGAATTTTTTTCATGAAATTATTTAATCTTATAAAATTATTTCATATAATACTTTTTTTGATGAATTTGTTTTATTTATGGTTATGAAGTTGTATCATATAATATTTAATGAAATTTTAATGAACTCAAAAATTAAAATAATAAAGATGATAATATCCATGATTAACACCCTCCAMAATAAAAATGGTTAATCAACCTCCCATAATTACAAAAAAATGAACAAAATGAAAAATTATGATTGGTTGAATGTGGTTTTCACGGTTTGTACAAATCGGGTGGTTTTTATTTGAACGCTCCCCTAATCAAACTGTTTTCCACTACGGGGACTTTGTTTGATCCCCCCCTTATGTATATGGATTCTATCGCTCCTAATCTCTCTTCCCCCTTCCCAAGAAGACCTCTTTAAAGAATTGGATGGGGAAAGGCAACAACCCGCTTTTTTTTGTGTCGTAGGGGAGGGATTGACCTTTCTAACGCATATTCAGTCGTACCGGCATGGCCCCATTGATTTCTTTCCGATAGGAGCATCCAGATTTTTACTTGCGCTTGGAATGCAAAAGCATTCTTTTCAATGCCAGACCCCATTCATTCCCTGTGGGTTCCTCTTCCTCCAATTCTTTCCATTCTACCAATGAATATATATATATATATATATATATATATATATATATAAAATATATATGGGATTAGGTTAATGGAAAATCATAGAAAAATAAAGAATAAATTGCATGAAAAAATAGCGTACTTTAACTTGATTCCTATTTCAGGAAACATACTTTCAAAACGTCCATTTTTTGGTACCTAAGATGTAAATTTTTAAACACGAGTAACCGGTTGAAACATTAACCGGTTACCATGTTGATGTGGTATCCAACTCAGTATTAAGATATCTATGTTTAAAACTATACATCTTAGGTACCAAAATGGAAGTTTTAAAAGTGCATTACTCAAGATAGAAATCAAGTTAAAGTACGTTATTTTTTCATGCAATTTACCCAAAAATAAAAAATCAAGAAACACCATAATAACCATTTTTATTGTATCGTACGTACATGTACATATAAGTAATATGTAAGCAATTTTTCCAGTATGCACACATCCTAGAAACTAGGAAACATCTTTAATTACTTATATGCATATGTACAGACTGTACAAATAAATGATTATAAAGGTGTTACTCAGTTTTTCTTCTTTGTTGTGGGAGGGGGTTTTCTCCTAAACCTCACTATATGTATAAAAACCAAAAAAAAATCATATATATAGCTCGAAAGCAGTATATGTGAAAATTGGATCTAGAAGAAGTGAGATACAATTAGCAAAGTTAGGATCGAATTTATCATCTCCAACATATTCTCCAAAAAGAAGATGGAGATTTTGGATAAATTTTGCTCCAACAGATTCTTCAACAATTTGGGCTAATAATATGGATAGGATTGTAACAATCAATTACAGATTCTCTAAATTTGGAGAACTCTCGAAAAATGATTACCATAAATGTGAAACAATTTTTATTATTCTCACTGATAAAAAAAATATTATATCCTCACTGATAAAGAAAAAACCTTGATTTTAATGGCCAAAGAAAAAAAATAATATTTTATTACATGTATAAAATATTTTAATAATAATATGTTGAAGATTTTGAATTTTTGATCCTCTATTATAGAGATTTTGGAGAATATGTTGGAGATGCTTCAGAGGGATATGTCATGCAGCGTGTGTGGGAAACTCATACCTCGATTCAGCGTTTCGTTGATTGGTAATACTACCGAAAGAGAGAAAAAAAATCAAGAAAACTTGAATTTTATTAATCAAAACCCGATATCTAATACAAGCCATAACACCGTATTGAATACTAAAACCCTAGAAAAACAAATGGAAATAGCAAAAAATCACAAATTTGTCAACAATTTTACAAAATCCCAAAAAGAAACTTCAAAAAAAATTAATTTGACAACCAAAACGACAAAAAAACTTGGCTAAAAACACGTCGGGGCTGTGGTTTGGTGTGAAATCACACTCTTATTGTACTATGTCACTATGATACAAGAATTGTGAAGTGGGGCTGCGGTTTGGTGTGAGCCGCCGTCGTACCGCCTAGGAGGATTACCCGACCGGGCTACCTCGGGCGGCAAGTGCCACCAACAACATAAATACGTAGATCCGCCAATATATTCATTATGACAGCAAAAAATAAAACCTATTGGCCAAATCTTGCGTAGATGTTTTCAACTGTACCAAGAATGGTATCAGTACTTTGGAGCATCCATCAATCAAAGCATCTAAGGAATTTATCATTCCTTTACCCGCAAACATACTTTCAAGAAACCAAAATTATATCTGAAAAACCCTATTTTCTCCTACAAAGATATGGAAATATTTTGTATAGAGACTTACCTCCATAACTGTCGAGCCAAACCGGACGATCTCAGTAAATCGGAGTCAGAGGTGGGGTCTGAAGATGAGATGTATTCAGCCTGACTTTTTCCACGATCATTATAAGTCCAAAAAGTCTTGATGCATCGTGATCCGGGTTTTTTTGTCACTGCATCAATAAGAAAAAGTAAAGAGAAATCATTGATGGCACTTTTTTCCTTTTTGAATCCTTTCAAATGGGTAAGTCCAAAAATTCAAACACAAAAGCAAGAAGTTAAAGGTAAAGCAAATCCTATTTTCCACCGAAAGAAACCATATTCACACACCGTGCTACTGTATGTATTTCTATTTCTATTTATATTAGAATTAGATCAAATCATACATTAAAAATGTAAAAAGTAAGTCATGATGCTAATGTAACGATGAAATTAATAGGTAAGGATGCATTTAGCCGTATACAGGGATGCCATTTAGCAGTATATACCGACGCATTTAGCGGTATATTCGGGCGCATTTAGGAGGGTGCATTTAGCAATATATAGGCATGCATTTAGCCAACACATGAATATGGTTTTTGTTCAAGAAACATGAATAGTTCTTGATTTTTATGTTTAAACATAATTTTCATTACAGTTTCATCAACAATGGCATCAAACCAGAACTTAAGAGATCTTCAATGGCTTATCCAATCAATCCAAACCCAAACTTTAGATCTTCAGAGCATTTCCTTCCATCTTTCTCAACCAACATCATGTTGTCATCAAGAAACTCAAGATTCCATTCATATAAACATTTCAAGTGACGCCCATTACCAGTTTTCTAACATCCTGACACTCCTAGCAACATCTTCTAAAACACGGGTTTTTCTTCAGAATCTTGAATTTTATCAAGTTGAATGGCAGTTGGAGGAAGTGAAGAGTCTCAAGATCCTGCTAGATAGTTCTTCAAATGTAAAGCATCTTGTGTTCAAGAGGAATGTGATAAATGTTGAGTGTATGGTAGAGTTAGCAAAGATACTGAAAGAAAATGAAGTGATTAAGGAGATCATATTGTCTGAATCAAGAATTGGTTCATTTGGAGCTAGTCTTATTGCTTCAGCTCTGAAGACAAATACCTGTTTAGAAGAGTTGCAGATATGGGAAGATTCAATAGGATCAAAAGGAGCAGAAGAGCTCTCGAAAATGATCGAAGCAAATTCGACGTTAAAGCTCTTAACAATTTTCGACTCAAGTTCAATTACGGCCACACCGTTGATATCTGCAGTGCTAGCAAGGAACAGATCCATGGAAGTTCATGTATGGAGTGGAGGACAAGATAAAGACAATAGCTCGAAGGTGATCGAATTCGCACCCGAGAGCAGCGTGCTACGAATATACAGGCTAAGCGTCTCAGGGGCATGCAGGGTGGCTTGTGCTCTGGGGTGGAACACAACGGTCAAATCACTTGACCTCACCGGGGTCCGACTGAAATCCCGATGGGCCAAGGAGTTCCGGTGGGTTCTTGAACAGAACCACAGTCTAAGAGAAGTGAACCTCGCAAATACTGGCTTAAAAGACAAGGGAGTTGTTTATGTTGCGGCTGGACTTTTCAAGAATCGGAGCTTGGAAAGCTTGCGCGTAGATGATAACCGGTTTGGTGGGATAGGCGTAGAACACTTGCTCTGCCCATTGACTAGATTTTCCGCTCTACAAATTCAAGCAAATATAACTCTAAAGTCGATAACATTCGGAGGAAGAAGAACGAAGATTGGGAGGGATGGATTGATAGCAATCTTGCAGATGTTGACCACCAACCAAACTGTAACAAGATTGGGAATATATGAAGATCAAAGTTTAAGACCACAAGATATAATCAGAATCTTTAAGAACTTGGAGAAAAATGCTAGTTTGAAATGCTTATCTTTGCAAGGCTGCAAAGGGGTTGATGGTGATTTATTGTTGAAGACTATAATGGAAACCTTACAGGTCAATCCTTGGATTGAGGAGATTGATCTTGCAAGAACCCCACTTCAGAATTCGGGAAAAGCCGAAGGAATACATCTAAAACTAGGCCAAAATGCTAAATCCGAACCTGAAATCGATTTGCTTAAAGATATGCCTATGACCATGCCCAAGAGCTGCAGAGTCTTCATTTGTGGACAAGAATTTGCTGGTAAGAATTTGCTCTTTCGTCATGTAAGAACATGTGAATCCCCAAATCACTCTCCAAAAGAGCCCTTGAGGAAAAGGGAGGTTCCAACATATATACTGGAGAAATGATCCAAGTCTAGCCGAGTGGGACTCCAACATGTCCACTCTGATCCTAGAGTGTCAAGAGGGGGCTAGCCAGAGTGTTGGGTCCTTATAGTCGCAGTCCTTTGATAACATGTAAGAATACGTGGAACCCCCATATCACTCTCCAAAAGAGCCCTTGAGGAGAAGGGAGGTTCCAACATATATACCGAAGAAATGGTCCAAGTGTAGCCGATGTGACTCCAACATGCCCGCACTAACAAAGGCTAGATGAACACAGATGATCCCAGAGTGTCAAGAGGGGGTTAGCCAGAGTGTTGGGTCCCTATAGTCGCAGACCTCTGATACCATGTAAGAATACGTGGAACCCCCAAATCACTCTCCAAAAGATCCCTAAGAAGATGGGGGAGGTTCCAACATATATACCGATAAAATGGTCCAAGTCTAGCCGATAACACCCCCCCTCCCCTCAAACAGAGACTAGATGGCCCCATAGTGTCAAGAGAAGGCTAGCCAGAGTATTGGGTCCCTAGAGTCACAGACACCTTGGCTCTGATACCATGTAAGAATATGTGGAACCCCCACTCTCCAAAAGAGCGCTTGTGGAGAAGGGAGGTTCCAACATATATATCGGAGAAATGGTCCAAGTCTATCCGATGTGGGACTCCAACACATCAAAAATTAATATTTCAAGTTGTAGTAGTTATTTATAGATGAATATATAATCAAGATTTGTTGTGTATATGCAGGTAAAACCACATTATGCAATGCCATAGCACAAAATTTCTCTTCTTCAAAGCTACCTTATATTGAACAAGTGAAAACTCTTGTAAATCCAGTTGAGCAGGTTATTAGAACCACGGGAATGAAAGTAAAAACATTAAAAGATGAAGATACAAAGTTTTCGATATGGAACCTGGGAGGTCAACACGAATTCTTTTCCCTTCACGATCTCATGTTTCCAGGCCACGGAAGCGCTTCATCTTTCGTGATCATTTCCAGCTTGTTCCGCAAACCAAATAACAACGAACCAAAAACCCCATCAGAGTTAGAAGAAGATCTTCAATATTGGCTCAGGTTCATAGTTTCAAACTCGAGAAAAGCAGCTCAACAATGCATGCTACCCGATGTAACTGTCGTACTAACTCACCACGACAAGGTTGACCAACTATCGCTGGATTTCCAGAATACAGTGAATGCTGTTCAGAGATTAAGAGATAGATTCCAAGGGTACATTGACTTTTATCCTACGGTATTCACAGTTGACGGAAGATCATCTGCGTCTGTGAGTAAACTTACACATCACATCCGCAAAACTAGCAAAACTGTTCTGCAGCGAGTCCCTAGAGTTTACGAAGTCTGCAATGATCTTATAAGAATACTATCTGATTGGAGGTCAGAAAATCACGAGAAACCGGCCATGAAGTGGAAAGAGTTTGGAGATTTGTGCCAAGTTAAAGTTCCATCTCTAAGAGTCCAATCAAGAAACAGTCAGATACTAAACAAAGTGGAGACACGAAGAAAGGCAGTTGCAACATGCCTTCATCATATAGGAGAGGTGATATATTTCGAAGAACTAGGATTTTTAATTTTAGATTTCCAGTGGTTTTGTGGTGAAGTACTCAGTCAGCTAGTGAAGTTAGACGTTAGAAAGCTGAGCTTTAATGAAGGCAATGCGGGATTTGTGAGTAGAAAAGAGTTGGAGAAGATTCTGAGAGGAAGCTTACGTAGCCAGATTCCGGGGATGGGATCCAAGATTTTTGAGAATTTGGATGCCAGTGATCTGGTGAACATGATGCTAAAACTCGAACTCTGTTACAAACAAGATCCATCTGATCCTGAATCTCTACTGCTGATTCCTTCTCTTCTTGAAGAAAACAGAACAAGAACTCCGAGATGGCAGTCAATCACACCCGGTTGCGTTTTTGCAGGAAGACATCTCGAATGCCATGATTCAAGCCACATGTTCCTCACCCCAGGCTTCTTCCCCAGATTACAGGTATGTTGTTGGTTTGGTTAGGATCGCTTTAAACATTTGATTCTTGTTCTTGTTTTTTTTTAAGTATATAATATTTATATACGATGAAACTGGGAGGCTTGAACCCTTGACCACCAAAGAGGTTGGGCTCTACCTATAAACCAGGTATCGCTAGGCCAATGACCCTCTGGTTTCATGTTTCTTTTTACTGGAGGGCTGATTAAGCTGATGACCACCTCTTACCAGGTAAAAGGTTCTTACCCTGTAAGAATGGAATGTTGTTTACCACAAATATGCTGACCGAGATGCTTTCTGCCTCAGTCAGTGATTCAGTCAGTGCTTACCCAGGCACTTGGTAAACAACCATATTCAGTCGGCGCTTACTCAGACCACAATCTTAGGGGATGTTTGGTTGGTTACTCAACAGTCCTGTATAGATAAAGTTGTATGTGTGGATTAATTTGTCTATATAAATTGGGAAGGTTTTCTTTTCGGGAGCTTTTTCATTATGGAAGGCGCGTGTTTTTTAATTGGAAGGGAGAGGTTTGGAAAAAAAACTTGGCTTTCTGCATAAAGCTCCCCCTAGAAGCTTACTGAATAAGCAACTTTCTATATCATTAAGCCACTATCAAACAGTCATATATAGCTGACCGAATAAGTTGTGAGTCTCATTAAGCTCATTAAGTTGATAAGAAACAGGCCCTATTCAGTTGGCGCTTACCCAATTGTGTTGGAAAACAGCCCCTTAACTTTCTTATTTCCTTCGGAAACAGGTTCACCTACACAACAAGATCACTGGTCTCCAGAGCCAACACGGAGCAACATATAGTCTAGAAAAATTCCTCATCTTGATAGACATCAATGGGATCCATATCAGGATCGAGTTGGGAGGACAACTAGGGTACTATGTAGATGTGCTTGCTTGCTCCACCAAAAACCTCTCTGAGACCCTTAAGCTCTTTCAGGAGCTTATTTACCCAGCCATCCAGAGCCTCTGTCACGGGGTGACATTGATCGAAAACATCCTTCGTCCAGAATGTGTCAAAATTTTGACACCCCCTCGATACCGGAAAACCCAATCCGTACAACTCTCTCAATTAAAACAGGCTTTGCTCTCAGTTCCAGCAGACAGCATGTATGATTATCAGCATACTTGGACTCCAGTCACTGACTCGGGGCGACTGGTATTGGGACCAGGGTTTGACTTTGCCCGGGATTTACTATCCGATGGTGACTTCAGAGAAGTACTTCATCGGAGATATCATGACCTCTACAACCTGGCTGTGGAGTTACAAGTCCCCGCAGAAAACAACTCAGATGGATCAGGTCACCCTCAAGGAGATGAAACTGGCAAAGTTGACCCATCATTTGCTGGAATTGCCAAAGGGGTAGAAGAAGTCATTCAGAGACTCAAGATCATTGAGCAGGAAATCAGAGACTTAAAACAAGAAATCCAAGGGCTAAGATACTATGAACATAGGCTCTTGACAGAGCTGCATCGCAAGGTTAACTATCTAGCGAATTACAATGTCCAGATAGAAGAAAGAAAGGTACCAAACATGTTCTATTTTGTTAGAACTGAGAACTACTCAAGGAGATTGGTCACAAATGTGATCTCTGGGATGACTGCGCTCCGGCTTCACATGTTATGCGAGTTTAAGGGAGAAATGCATGTTGTTGAAGATCAAATTGGCTGTGAAATGATGCAGATAGATAACAAAGCAGTGATTTCTTTGGCTCCATACATGAAAGGTTTCATGAAGCTATTGACATTTGCTCTGAAAATAGGAGCTCATATAGCTGTAGGGATGGGGGAGATGATACCAGATTTGAGCAGAGAAGTGGCACATCTGGCTGGGAACCCTCTTCTTTATGGGGCTGCAGGTGCTGCAGCGGCTGGGGTAGTAGGGGCGGCGGCTGCCGGACGGAGCAGAGGGAGATCAACTGACATTCAGCAAGATATGAAAGCAGCACAGCAGTGGGTTGTGGATTTCCTAAGGGAAAAAGGGTGCTCCACAGGGAAAGATATTGCAGAGAAGTTTGGATTGTTGAGAATTAGGTACAGGGATGATGGTCAGGTTGCTTGGATATGCCGACGTCATATGTATACAAGAGCCAATGAAATAATCGAGGTACCTATGTGATAAAGAAAAAGTGAGAAGGATTTGGTAGTTTGAGGTCAAGTTATCGTTGTATGTAACCTTGAATTTGGTTACCATAGCATGTATAACTAGTTAATATATAAATATTCAATTATCCCTCCACCACAATGGGTGGTCACTCGGTATGCCTATAGATAATTTTCTCAAAGCCAGGCTAAATGTGCATGTGTACCACGCAATAGCTCAAAAGCTCTGGGACATTTGGAGGATTTAACAGAAGTGATAGTCTACATTAGGGAAATTACCATATATTAGTTCATTAATATGTGCATATATATGTGTATATATATATATATACAAGCCTTGACATTTGTGCAACCAATACAACCCAATTTCAACCGTCCATTTCATTTTATTAATATGTGATTTCATAAAAGTTTTGATTGTTTACTAATATAAAGTATTGATCATAATTAATGAACCATATTCATCTTCCATAAATATTCAAATCATAATAAATGAACTCTCATCGTTTCCATAAATATCTCAATTTATTGGGTTGCATTGGTTGTACAAATGCGATGGATTGTATTTGAAACAAACTCTATATATCTATAACCCTAATAAATAAGTAACTTTTGGGACACTTGGCATGTTTCTGTGCGGCGGTTATTGATTTTTCCCGCCTAAAACATGTATCTAAACACAATTTTCACTTACGGTTCAAATAGGTCTATTTAAATGACATGTGTCCCTTTGGACGGTTAATTTGCGACGGTTATTAATTTTTCCCGCCTAAACATGTGTCTAGAAACAATTTTAAAAAATAATTTTCCCGCCTAAACATGTGTCTAGAAACAATTTTAAAAAAATAAATTACAAGTGTGCACTCCGCATCAAAATAAACTCATGTACAATAAGAGCTCTTACTGTGCATGCAGAGCTCTTACTGTGCATGCAGAGCTCTTACTGTACATGCAGAGCCTCTTAGTGTAGTCCTTAGGACTCAGTCTTTTGAAGGGGGCTGGACCAAGAGCTCTCATGTAGAAGACATCAAGAGACAGAGCTCTGACACAAGAGTTAGGTGTCTCATATACAGAGTCTGTGTTGTA